TCACAGTCAAAGTAAGGTCCAGACTGTGTCTGATGATACATTAGGATAAAGGTCATGATGCTGAGAAAGACAATGGACTGTGAGGCAGGACAAAGCTGCTCAGGACAAGGACAGGGAACAGTGTGTGGGGTGAAGAGGGCATGAGCCACCAGTCCTGGATGAACATGGGGCAGTGACCTAGAGAAGATGGAGCCAAGTTAAGAATTATTTACTTATTGACTAATTTATTTCTAGTTTTTGACCTGCATTACCCAACTGTCTACTGAACATCTCCCCGGGATATATTTCTGAATCTTTTTCTCCTTAACAAACCTATCTTCCCACCTCTGTAATTTACTCTTCTTCCTCCATTTCTCTATTATTTCTTTAAATGTGTGTTTATTTTTGAGAGAGCACAAGCAGGGGAGTGGCAGAGAGCAAGGGAGACATAGAATCTGAAGCAGGCTCCAGGATCTGAGGTGTCAGCACAGAACCTGATGTCGAGGGGGCTCTCATGAACCGCAAGATCACAACCTGAGCCAAAGTCAGCCACTTAACCCACTGAGCCACCCAGGTGCCCCTTTCCTCCACTTCTTTGATTTTATACAGTAGCATCACCATTCATCTGTCCAGCTAGTCTAAAATATAAGAAATAAATGTCACCTTCACCAGCCCTTCCTGCTCTCCACCCAGCCACTTCCTTCCCTCATTTGAAAGCTCTAATCCTTGCTCCAGTGAAGGATGGTAATAAAGAGAACCATGTCTGAGGTGCCTGGGTGGCTCAGCCAGTTGAGCATTTGGCTCAGGACATAATCTTATGGTTCTGAGATCAAGCCCCACGTCAGGTTCCATGCTGAGTGTAGAGCCTGTTTGGGATATTCTCTCTCTCTCTCTCTCTCTCTCTCTCTCCATTCCCTGCCCCTCTCCCCAGCTTTCTCATACTCTCTCTCAAATGAGAGAGAGAGAGGGAACGAACTACCTCTAGAGTCAGACAGACCTGGTTTGAATCCCAGCTGGACCATTTCTACCCAGAATGATCTCAGGCACATAAATGTCTTAAACTTTATTTTCTTCTTCTGTTAAAAAAAAATTATACCACTAATATTAATCACATGGGTATTATGTTATTATGAGATTTAAATGAATTAATGCATGTAAAGAACTTAGCACTGCATCTGGCACTTAGTATTTGTCTTCAAAGTTTTGAAGACCATTAATTTTGGAATTTTCTTCCCCCTTTGATATCAAGTTGTCTGCAGAGCTTATAACCATATTTCTTAACTTTTATATCTATTCCACACTACATTAAATTTTTATGAATGCTGTATTACAAATGTGATAATGATACTCAGTTTGATTTATTTACCTAATGCAGTAATTAATTGCATGTGATTTTTTTACACACGTTGAAGCAACAAACACGCTTTAGACCATACACACCTACAGATTAGACTTTGTCATCTGTAAATATTTACCAAGAATTTCAACAATTCCAATATGTAAATAAAATGGGGTCCCCCAATACATTTTTAAGCACATCTTCATCATAAAGTATTAAATTCTAAACAAAACATCCTCACCAACAGGTTGTCACTAGACATTCACACTCAAAATGGCTTACGTTTTGTTACAAATTTTTTTTTAGAATAGAAGCCTATAATAGTTGAATTTTGAGCATGGAGAAAAAGAAACTGCTAGAGCGGTTGTTGGCCCCTGGGCTTTGATGGCCTCCCCCATCCCACCTGTCAAACCAACATTCACATTCTCTTCTTACTAATCCCTTCTTAAAGCTAAATTCAACTCCCCCTTATCCAGGGCAAAGGTTCAGAGTGAGAGGGAAAATAAGGACATTACTAACCCCGACTAGTGAACTGCAACATTATTCCACTGCTTACTATATCCAATGCCCTCACTGTCAGCACCTCTTCCTTCTACTTCTCTTTCCCAGTCTTCTCCAACCATTGAACCTGAACACTTACATTAACAAACACATCAGTGTGACTGGGGAAACATTCCATTGTGATGGCAGCAGGTAAGTGGAAGCATGGCTTAAATGGTTACTGTGCCAAAGTTGTTCTTTTGAACTTTGAACCAAAAATTCAATACTAATTTCCTCCCATGAAGAGAGCCAATGGCAGACTCAGATTAGGATTGTAATTACTTGAAATGGAATACCACATATCTGGTGGTGGATTATCTCTTTTAATGAAGATTCCTTCCAAAGAAGACATCTATTACGGACAGCAAGAGATAAAGAGACAAATGGCCTTGTCTCTTATCTTCCCCTAATCTCCATATTCTATCCAGATATGTGTGCATCATCATCCTCTGTCCACCCACCACAGATGGAGTAGACATCCGTCACAGAAGCCAGACACTTGCTCAGTGAGAGTTTATTTCAGAAAAATCCATCATTTGCATGAGAGCTCATTAGGAAAAGTTTTTTTTAAAAAGTGTTTCTGGGGGCGCCTGGGTGACTCAGTCGGTTAAGCGTCCGACTTCAGCTCAGGTCACCATCTCTCGGTCCGTGAGTTCGAGCCCCGCGTCGGGCTCTGGGCTGATGGCTCAGAGCCTGGAGCCTGCTTCCGATTCTGTGTCTCCCTCTCTCTCTGCCCCTCCCCTGTTCATGCTCTGTCTCTCTCTGTCTCAAAAATAAATAAACGTTAAAAAAAATTTTTTTAACAAGTGTTTCTGGGGTGCCTGGGTGGCTCAGTTGGTCAAGTGTCCGACTTTGGCTCAGGTCATGATCGCACGGTTCGTGGGTTCAAGCCCCACATTGGGCTCTGTGCTGACAGCTTGGAGACTGGAGCCTGCTTCAGATTCTGTGTCTCCCTCTGCCCCTTTCCTACTGTGCGTGCGCACGCGCTCTCTCTCTCTCCCTCTCAAAAATAAACATTAAAAAAAATTTTTTTTAAGTGTTTCCACCATGCTTGCAAACAAAAACTTAGCCGTGAGATGTTCATATATGGATTCTAACACAAACGGGTGTGTTATTTTTTAAACAATAAAAAGGCAAAAGGACAAAAGTTACTTCATGAGAAAAACAGTTTAAAAAGAAGAAAAAGATGTTGACTTGAGTAACTACACTGTTTTTCACATCAAATAGAACCCCACAATAGATGGCAATGTGCGTCTCTATGCTAGATCCTGATTGTGGTGTACCCCATAACAGAGAAATGGAATTATGGCTCAGCTGCAAAGTCCTGGGCCCTTGTTTTCCCAGTGGCCTAAATCAATCCCTAGTCCAGGACAAGATACTGAGCAAGACGCGTAATTATTCCAGGCCACTAGGGTAAGCACTATTCCGGGCGACTCTGCAGGCGGTGCCGTGGATGAGGGTTTCTAATTCTCTTTGGTGATTTGGTTCTGTGTAAACTGAGATTTTTCTTTCAGTATTTCAGCCAGATAAGCAGGAAAGGCCAGCTCCAATCCTGAGATAGAGCCAATCAAGGTCAATTTCGGTTCCTTTCCTGTGTAGTTTAATCTATTTTTCTCCTGCTCCCTTACCCTGACACCCTGACATCAGATCATTTTTATCTGATTATCAAATACCTACTGAGAGAAACTTTGGCAGCCTCTGGTGCTCCCCCAGTCATCCAAAAGCCTCTCAGCCTAGGAATATCATGAATACTCTGCAAAGCAGTGTCCTTGAGAGGCCAACCTAAGACTCCAGGCGATGAACCACAGAGAGGTGTCTCCCATAAATATTTTGAGGGTGAGGTTGAGACCAATGCCTGCTTTCACCAGAGACAATACTAACTTATTCAACTTGCCTTTTACCAAATCCCTAATTCTTGGTTTTGCACTATACCACAACATACTCAGTTATTATCTAACATAGAGAGGGGCAAACAAATCTTGTCATTCCCATTAGGCAGATAGTGACACAGAGGTTTGCAAGTTCAAAAGAGTTGCCTAAAGTGAATTCAACAAAGCAGTGTTGTAGCTGGAAAGTAGATCAGCTGACACCTGTCCCCAGTTTTTTAGGTCACAGGCTTTTTGTAAGTTTAGATTAAGCACTGTCTTACTTACCATATTCCTCCTTGAGATCTTCTATTTACTTTGGTAAACTGTGGATACCGGTGGAGAGGTACCAGGTGTACATTCCAGATACTTACACAATATTCAAAGACTGCTCTGTCTGCCTGTTGGGTACATAGCTCCTGACTGAAGAATTTCTAAGGTTGTCAGAAGAACAAATGAGGCATTAGGGGCTCTGATGTGAAAGGAAATAGCTCATACCCCTGGAAAGACAGATGAAAAACATCCTCTTCATTATTACAAATAAAAAGCTAATCTATTTAGTCTGCGCCTTTTCAAATTTCATTGCTCCCCCCGCCCAGTATCTTCATTAAATAAATGCAAACACATGTGCTTAGAAATGGGTAGGTGTAAAAGAACATTCTGCACAATTATATCTAGGCTGCCGGAGATTTATATCACATGCATACATCTATCTAGGAGCTGTTAATTCACGATGACAGCTGAGCATGACAAATGCAACAGTACACAAGTTGGAATGCCGAAAAAATGCATCTACAAACCCCATGCAGACAAACACGCATACAGGAGTTTTCCCTCAACGCACACGTGGTCGCACTTACAGGAGCTTAACCACTTTGATAAACCCCAAACACAAACACAGGAGGCTCCGCCGCCCGCGAGCTGCCCCCACACATGCAGCCGCGCCTTCGTCTACCGGCAGGGATTCTCGCGCGTCCCTGGGTACACTCGCCCCCCACCGGCATCCCACTGGGCGAACACACGCGCGCCAACCGCTCCCCGCGCTCGCCCGCCCGCCGGGGAAGCGTTGGCTCCCGGGGCTGGGGGCAGGGCCGGGTGGGGCCGGAGCGCCGCGGGGCCGGGCCTCGGCGCCCGGGGAGGGGACGAGGGGCGGGCGCGGGGCGGCGCCCGGCTCACGTGGGCGGGCGGGAGCAGCTGAAGGTCCGCTCCGGAGCCTGGGCTGTCCTCTCGCGCGCGGCGCTGGCCGGGGCGGCGGCGGGGAAGGAGGAGGAGGAGGAGGAAGGCGGCGGTGGCGGCGGCGAAAGAAGAGGGGAGGACGGGGGCGGCGTCGGACTGGAGCCGAGCGGCGGCGCGAGCTGCCCGGGGCGCTGTCGTGAGCTCGCCCGCCGGGCCCCCATCCCCGAGCTACACCCTGCCGTGCCCAGCTCTGCCCGCGTCCGTGCCCCCGCGGGGAGCGCGCCGGGGCTGCCCCCCGAATGACGGGCGGAAGGTTCGACTTCGACGATGGCGGCACCTACTGCGGCGGCTGGGAGGAGGGCAAGGCGCACGGGCATGGCATCTGCACGGGGCCCAAGGGCCAGGGCGAGTACTCGGGCTCCTGGTCGCACGGCTTCGAGGTGGCTGGAGGCTACACCTGGCCCAGCGGCAACACCTACCAGGGCTACTGGGCGCAGGGCAAGCGGCACGGGCTGGGGGTGGAGACGAAGGGCAAGTGGATGTACCGGGGGGAGTGGTCACATGGTTTCAAGGGGCGCTACGGGGTCCGGCAGAGCCTGTGCACCCCCGCTCGCTACGAGGGTACCTGGAGTAACGGGCTGCAGGACGGGTACGGCGTGGAGACCTACGGGGACGGAGGTGAGCAGCGTCGCAGGCGGCTCGGCTGCTCCGTGAGCTGGTGCGGTGGGCTTTGCCCAGGCTGCGGGGAAGCGGGGAGGACGAGAGGCGCACGTGTCCGGAAACCCGCCAAAACACCTGGGAAAGCCTCCCACCCACCTCCCGCGCCAGCGTGGAGACGCGACTAGTGCGCGGGGGTTTGATCTGCCCTGGTTCTTGGAACGGGCTGTGTGTCCACACCCGGGGGAGCAAGGCGTGAATATACCTGGCCGGCGCCAGCGCTGCACTGCCACCAGGAGGGAGCGCCGCCCGGGTGGGTTGGGCTGGAGAGAGGACGCTGTCACTTGAGCCCGTCACATTACGTTCCTGATCCCTCCCTCTCCCGGCCGGGTTTGAAAACGCCACTCCCGTGGAGTTAGAGCGAACGCCCTGGGCTTGTGAGCCTGGCGGTCGGTGCTGACCGCTCCCCGGATTGGTTTCACGTGGAGTCGTATTTCGCTTCTGGTCCTCTCGTAGCCTAAAGATAGAAAACAGAACCCCATAACTAGGATGTAGGGGAATTGTGCCTTATTTGGAGTGCATTTGGAAATATCCTAGCTATGGAAGTGGAGAGGCCACCTGATGCAGGTGGGGCTCAGAGGGTGTTGGTTTTTCTTCCTAGTTTTCATTCGTTCCTTAAAGTAGTGGCTTTCAATCAAAGGAATGGTTGGTAGTCATTGTTGACCTGGAGAGCTTTGGGCAAATTACTAGAAAAAGGTCTCAGAAAGGAACGAGGAAGCCTCCGTTTTAAGAAATATATTAGAAAGCTCTGGTCCTGCAGTTGCTAAGTTAGCCACTTTACTCCAGAGAGTGGCAATATGGAATCACCAAATTGCACTAAGTTGTATGACCTCAACATGCTGGCTATGCACAAAATCACCTTATTTTAATATTTAACAGTATTTGCAAAATGAATTGTGTAGAGGCAGAGTCCTTTTTTTTTTAATTACAAAAAGTATACATTACTGAAACAGGTGCAAAACCTGATGAATTTCCTTGTGCAATAAGTGGAGGATGAATGGGTTATACTTTGGCAAAATACATTTTCTGGTAATAAACATAATCATAGTTAATTGAAAAGGGTTATAGGAGGCAGTGTCAGCTTCGTAATTATGCAGCTCAGAGCTGAAGGGTATGAAAAGGATCCAATTAAAAGTTTCTCCAGCCCACTGCAACCTCAGTTAGGCCACTACTTATATAAAAGCTTATACAATTTGTACACTTCAGTTACTCAGAACACTTGGGCTGTATTTCAGATGCAAAACAGTACAATGGTAGAATTCGATAAAACGGACATCTTTCCATCCCACAGTATAAATAAAGGATATGGTTCTCATGGATTAAGGGGCGGGGGGACTGTTTCCATAATACTTTTATAAGGGTTGCATGGGTCTTGAGCTCCACAGTAGTTAATTCGGGCCCTTAAATGTTCTGAATGGGCATATAGTGCCTTGGTTGACAGCCCTATAAATATGCTAGCTTGTGATTGGATTTTATTGGAGGCCCCAGATCTGTAATATAACTAAATTCCATGCTCAAAAGTAGAATGCAAAATTTATTTTTTAAATGTGCGTGTTATTTTACAACCTTTTAGGAAGGACAAGGATCGTTCTCTTCAGTTTGGGAAGGTTAAAAATAAATTCGTCTTTTAAAAGTTACTACTCATTAAACAACATCTCTTAGTTTAGAATATTCATTACACTTAGCAATAAAATACATGTGTGTATACATATATATATATATAATATGTAGCAATAAAATACATGTGTGTATGTATATATATATATAAAATATGCAGCATAGCAAAGGTCCTCTATGTGTTTTAGAAGCTCAGTTAAGTGACTGGGATGACTTTATGGATAATCTGCCTTCTGCTTTAAAACTAACTTAAAAATTTTTTAAACCCTTAAAATTTGGCATCACCATAGGACTGTGGTTTTCCTTTTCTATTAAAAGAAATCAAATATGCTACCAATTAGGAAGGGAAAAAAAACCCTTAAAAATCACTTTCAGGGTCTCCTCTGTGCAAGTTGATTTTCTGCTTTCTTTCATATGTCACTCCATTTAATGAGAAGGTCCTTAATCATGAAGTGGTGCTCTAAGTAGAGGTATATTGCAAGAACTTATTTTATACAAAAGTTTTGGCCAAAATAGGAAATATCACCTTCCCTATTCTTACTTAAGAATTAGCTTATTTTTGTCTCTGCACCACCACATGCCCATCCCTGTGCACCTTCTGTCAAACTTAGGGAAAATATGATTCCATGTATTTTGTGATGACATTAAACTAGAAGTTTCATGTGGGAAGTACCACTTATTTTATCAGTAATTTGTGTGAAGTGTTGCTGGCATAGAACTTGCCTGAAAATTAATTAAAAATAAATTAGTACCATAGTAATGAAATCACATCTAGGTGCCCAGAATTTTTTGCATAACTTCTGATCTGCACCTCATTTTTTTCCACCAGTCATAAAACTATTGAAAATATCTAGGAAGATGCATTGCTTTATCAACTGTATATGCTTGCATATGCCCATTCATAGCATGTAAATGTAAGTTTGGCATAGCACAGTATACATTTTACTGGAACTGGATGCCTTCCACTACAAGGCTGTAGTTAAAATGGCTATATCTAGAAAACCAGCTCCCAGATGAAAAATCATAGAACGTAACTTAAAACCCATCAAAATACTTTTTACACTTGTGAAATACGCATCTTTATTTGAGGAATGGAGAGGAACTAATTAGAACTTTATTTGGACAGCGGGGAGAAGTTGGTACCCACCTGCTTCATAAAAATAGAAACCCTTTTTTCCTAAGTTCATTGACTAACCCTATTTTAAATTTCAGATGAACTACTAACAGTTTGACTGTAAATTGGTTTTTAGCAATTCTATGGAGGAAGTCTTCCATACACTGTGATTTAACAAAATAGGATGGGAATGTGGCCAATGCTGTTGCCCACCCCCCACTTCCCTGTTTGACAGTTAAGCATAGAGATAAACTTTCTAATTACTGCTGTTGCCTCAAACTGCTTGGATTTTCAAGCAGTACTTATTTGGAAATTCTGAATGCTTGTCTTACTTTTGGAGATACCAGTTCAAGGAAGCTACTTATTAATTCTCCCTCACTGTTAAACATTTACTAAGATGATATGGTTGCATTTTAAAAGTATAAAACTCAATTGATCTCAAATAGCACCTTTGGAAACTATTTTTGCAAAATTAACTTGTCATGATGTAGAAAGGTAGGAGATGATTATAGGATCCCTTGTTTATCTAAACAAAATATTTTTTAAAAAGGTTGTTTTAGTACATGTAAGTCAAGTTGTAGAACTTTTATCCTAGAACTTGTATTTTATCTATATAGACAAAGGAAAAGTCAAAGTTCAAATTTCCTAATAATTTAATTCCCTTCCCTGTTAAGGTGGTGTATTTGGAAATGGCTAATAATCAGTAGAAACCTTCTTAACCTGAATTGTCTAAATGACTATCTTATCCTTTTGGGTTTACTCCTTTTGAGAAAGCTATGGCCCACCTACCTTCTTAGAAGTTCATAAAGGTCAGGTTCAAACTTTTAGATTTGCCTAGAATAGGACATTCACAGTACCAGGCATCCTAGAATTTCATTGTTGCCCTGCTGTTAGGTCTGTTTATAGGACATAAATATATCAGAATAAACAAAAAGAGAAGGTAGTCTTGAAATGAGTCAAAACTTTTGATTTTGGATCCATTACAGTTTTAACGTCTAAATGTAATGAAATAATCAGCACGTATTAACACAATGGTACAAAACCACTAGCATCATTGCTCAGTATTTAAAAAGTAAATGTATGCCACACAGTGGAAATCTGTGTGTAGCAATATAAAATGAAAGGCGACTGCAAGGTGGATCTATATAATCAGAAACTGAGAGAGGTCAAGACATTTGATTACATCAAATAATTATATCGCTGTAATTTATTTTCTATGATATTGTGAGTTACTATGAATCATACAGAAATACTTACATCTTAAAATTTCTAGATAACTTCTGGGGGATACTGTAATTTAAAATGTGCCTTTAAGTAAAGGAAATGGCCTTGATTTTGAAAAGAAAATTCTAAACTCCTAAATTTAATTTTTTCCCTATGTTCCCTAATATTTTTTAAAGTTTACTTATATTTATTTTGAGAGAGAGAGAGCAGGTAAGGGGCAGAGAGAATCCCAAGCAGGCTCCATACCACCAGGGCAGAGCCCAACGCAGGGCTCAAACTCCCAAACCGTGAGGTCATGACCTGAGCTAAAAATCAAGAGTCCTGCAGCTGACTGAGCCACCCATAAGTTCCCTAATTTTAGTATTCAGTTTTTCATGTGATTGTTTTAAAAGCAGCACTATGTTATTTTGCTAACTTGTTTAATAGAAAAGTCTACTGAGCACAAATGCTTTAGCTTAGAGATTATCCTATTCCTAAAAAGGCATAATATTCATTGAAGTGATCTGGTGTCAACAGAGTTTTGAGGGACACTGTCAAACACCCCTTTGCTCTGAGATGAATTCCAGACTGTTAAAGAATGGAAGTTTTACTTTGGCCTTAGTCCAGTTTTTCTAGGGGTAAATAGCATATTCTTTTGAGCCATCATAGCTGTTTACTATAAAGTCATCAACACCTGCAGACCACAAGACACATAAGCCGTGAGACTGGAAATTTTGCCCTAGCTTAGGAGGAAACTCCTGCTCTCTGAGTGCTTCTAGTCCATGATGTGGCTCATGTAGTGGCAGTGACTAGGGAAATCCATGAAGAGAATGACGGGAGAAAGCAGAAATCTGGCAACGAGTACAGGGCAAATCTTTGACCATTTCACCTGGAAGTACAAAATGTTAAATTGCCCGTTTTTTTCATGTCCCACAATATTCAGGATCTGTATCATATATGTCAAATCACTCTTTGCTTCAAAAATTTCTCCCAAATCTAAATATTAAAGTTTTCCCTGCCCTAAAAAAAGATGGTGAACATGAAAGAAAGAAAATGTAAAGTAAAATAATGTGTTTGATGACCCATGTCCCGATCATTAACAATTTTAAGTCTTTTAGCTTGTTGGAATGTTATTGTGACAGACCTAGAGCTTTTAGAGCTTTTCAGCTGAATGAGTAAAATTAAAATTCAGGAAGAGAACTCATTTCATCTTCTGTGACACTGCCTTCCTTTGAGGGATTTTGATCAGGGGAGAAAAGTTGTTTTCTAATGATCGCTCTTTTTGTATTAGAAAGTGGTGGTTTCATCTGAAACATTCGTATAAATTTTTAAATGAAAAGGAAAATTACCAAACTTGGAAAATGCTAAACAATTACATTGAAACCATTGACACAAAATTACAGGGCGGGAACCCACAAGTGGATGAAACGTAAGGTGTCACTTAGAGTTGACTTGGATACGTGTAGGATTTGACCGTGAACCTGCCTGCTCTGAGTACCGGGCTCTCCTGGGACGCACCCAGGTGCTGGCAGGCGAGATCGCACCCCTTCCGCCCCCGACTCACATTGTGCTTTCTTGCCGTCTCTCTCGAAGGTACTTACCAGGGCCAATGGGCCGGCGGCATGCGGCATGGCTACGGCGTGCGCCAGAGCGTGCCCTACGGCATGGCCACCGTGATCCGCTCGCCGCTGCGCACGTCCATGGCCTCGCTGCGCAGCGAGCAGAGCAATGGCAGCGTGCTCCACGATGCCGCGGCCGCTGCCGACAGCCCCGCCGGCACCCGCGGCGGCTTCGTGCTCAACTTCCACGCCGACGCGGAGCTCGCGGGCAAGAAGAAGGGCGGCCTCTTCCGAAGGGGCTCCCTTCTCGGAAGCATGAAACTTCGCAAGTCCGAATCCAAGTCTTCCATCTCCAGCAAACGCAGCTCCGTCCGCAGCGACGCGGCCATGAGCAGAATTAGTTCCAGCGATGCCAACTCTACGATCAGCTTCGGCGACGTAGATTGTGATTTTTGCCCGGTGGAAGACCACGTCGATGCCACCACCACGGAAACCTACATGGGCGAGTGGAAGAACGACAAGCGAAATGGTTTTGGCGTTAGCGAGCGCTCCAACGGCATGAAGTATGAAGGAGAGTGGGCAAATAACAAGAGGCATGGATATGGCTGCACCGTGTTTCCCGATGGCTCCAAAGAAGAGGGGAAATACAAAAATAATATTCTGGTCCGTGGAATAAGGAAGCAGCTTATACCAATAAGAAATACAAAAACTAGGGAGAAGGTGGACCGAGCAATTGAAGGCGCGCAAAGGGCAGCTGCCATGGCGAGAACCAAAGTGGAAATAGCAAATTCAAGGTATGTAAATGCAGGGCGGGTGGTTGTGCATGGTCGTTCAAAACAGTGGGATATCAAATATTTTGGTTGTCATTCTGTTGGTAACATCACCATATTTGCTTCTGTAACTATCAGAATCAAAGTTAGAAAATGATTAATTCCAATGGAATGAGAGTCAGAAATGTACCTGCACTATTCTGAACCTGGCCGTCATCGCAAAATGTGGAAGCACGTTGAGATCCCCTTGCTGTCACAAACTACTTCCCAAATACTTAACGTCGGGTCACTCAGACTGTGCACATTTTCAGGAATCGAGAAAGTTACTTTCAGGGGTGTGTTGTTTTGTTTTAATACTACCACAGAGAATGATTTTTTCTTTTTTTCTTTCTTTTTCTTTTTTCTTTCTTTCTTTTTTTTTTTTTTTGAGAAAGCCACCAAGATCTAGATATGGCAGAAATGGAAAGTTACAAGACCAAATCTCCTATGCATTGTTTACAACAACAGAGCTCAACTGTATGGGAATGGCAGAGGGACTAAGGCTGATACAAATTGTCACATTCTATGCTGGAATGATTAGATCACCGGTGTATTAAAAGGAAAGGGGTGGGGGGAACCTGCCATGGACAGATGGGACTGTCAGCGTGCCAAAGTTGGAAGAAAGTAGAGCAGTAGAGAAGGGATGGAGTGAGTAGGAGATCGCGATGAATTATAGATTGAGAAGTGGGGTGTATGTGGGCACAGAAGGACTATGTGCTTGAAGTTTTGCCATGAATAGCTGGATTTGGGGTCCAAAGAGAGGGATGGAGAAATCTATTGGGAATAGAATTGTCATATTGTAGACAAAAAAAGAAAAAAAAGATGGTTATAAATGGAAAATATGATTTTTAGGCTTATTTACATGGCCACCGAATGGCCACAGTATCATGTGACTTGAGGCGTACATTTAGCATAGAATATTAAAAACCCTTTTCTTGCTTCAGTAATATTTTCCTGTAGAAGTAAATGTCCTTTGGAAGCCACAGAATATTAGCGTGTCTTCAGATTTTTATTCTTAGCATTGTATTAAGCTTCTCTTTTCTTTGGTTGAACCATACAAAATTTCTGATACTTGAACTTCTTGGTGTTCAAAAAATGGCACTTGCACAAGGTTCAACCTTATACTTTCAGACTTTTGACGTTTCTTTAAAAAACAAAAACTTTATGGTCACTGTTTACTTCTGAGTATCTGAAACATTACTTGAAAAATGAAGAGGTCATGTTTTTTGTGTTATATTGAGATAGGTGTCAAAAGTTTTCAGGGTTTCCATCTTTATCCCAAACTCCTCCTATTTTAAAGTTAATATTGCTTATTGTTAATTAGCATAAACTTTCGGGAAGGGCCTCTCTGCCCTTCTCTGTTGAGCAGATTTTATTTTAGACCACAGTTTCCCTAATAGCCAAGCGTTGAATTACTTGCTTTTCGGTTTGCTTATAGATGGGATACTTGGCACCTCTAATCTTACTGGCTTCCTGGCCCTCAGCTAACTTTTGAGCTAGTGCTATACCTTTGGTTATGCCCTGGCGTCTAATTTTAAATGCACTCCTGGATTTTTCCATTTGCTTTCACCTTACAACCTAGTGATCCTAGTAGAAGCAGTTTGATCTCTGCAGATGCAAAGTAAAACTGTGCAGGACACTCTAGCAAATGATTTTCTTAAGCTTGTTTTAATTATTGACTTTTATGATTAGTTTAAATGGGAGGAATCTACATAATGAAAGGGAAAGGCTTGTAATGCAAGGATGTCGGATTATACTAGTATCATAAACTCCTACCCAAGTGCTAGCCACATCCTCTCTGTTGAAAATCTTTTGGGGGTAGTGGTAATATAGTTTGAGATTACTGTGTTGTATAGTTTTTAATCAAATATACTTTTGGCCAGTTAACTACTTTCTAAAAATTTCACCTAGCTATCTTTTCAATGCTCAATTCATTATAGTAAGTGAAATAAGCCAGTCACAGGACAGATATTGCATGATTCCACTTAAGTGAGGTGTCTAAAATGGTCAGACTCCTAGAAACAGAGACTAAAATTGTGGTTGTCAATGGCTGGAGGGAGGAGGAAATGGGAAGCTGCTGTTGAACAGGTATAAAGTTTCAGTTAAGCAAGACGAGTGTGCATGCAGTTAACAATACTGTATTGTGCACATAAAAATTTGTTAAGAGGGTAGATATCATGTTAACTCTTCTAACTACAGTAAAAAATATATGTATACTATTTGGATGATGCAATAGAGAAAACAAAATTCTCAGGTAACCTTTTATGTCTTCCTTACTTTCATTGTTTACTCCTCTTTCCAGATTCCTTGCTTTAATGATACTTCAGATATAGAGTTTTGCCACTTGTTTTTGTAGAAAATAGCTGATGGATTGACATTCCCCTTCAGTAGCTCTGAGTTTAAAGTTCTACATTCTTTTAAAAGCTTTTTTGTTTGTTTTTTTTTTTAAACAAAGAGAGGGACACCTGGCTGACTTCATTGGTTGAGCCTCAGACTCTTGATTTTGGCCCAGGATCATGGGATTGAGCCCAACACTGGGCTCCATGCTTAGCCTGGAGCCTGCTTGGGATTCTCCATCTCTCCTTCTGTATCTCCCCTGCCCCAGCATGAAAGCATGCTCTCATTAAATGAATGAATGAATAAATAATAGAAAAAAAAAAAAAGCTTCCATTAAGGTTTTGGAGATTGCTGGGGGTGGGGGGGGACTTCTTGCTATATTGTCATAAACCATGGCTCTTTATAATGTCTCAGTATCTGCTCAGTACTTCCTGGACCCTCCAGTAGTTATTGTTAGTGTTTTGGTTTTACAAAATAGCAAAAGTTTAACAACATAAGGTGACATTCTCCCCCTCATCCTGCCCCAGTAATGGCAAAATAACAACTAGAAATAACTACCTCCTGGCAGCTGCTGCTCTCAAAATCACTTGTTCGCCATTAGCAACAGAGGGAGATGATAACTTTAATAGTTACTGACCATCTTAGTTTGCCACCCAGATAGTGCTAATCATTATTCTGTTGCTGTTATTTCATAGGCTGTGGAGAATTTTTGTTACTTAAGTATCAGGGAGTTGGATCCATTTGTGTACCATCACCTTATATTATTCTGAAGCAAAGCTTCAAGTTGGCTTTGAGAGAAAATAATTATATCCTCCTCAGGGAGATCAGGGGACATAGAACCAACCAACTTGAGCTCAGAAACTCAAGAAGGTCTGTGGACCTTTCTTTTGCTTCGTTGAATAGGGAGTAGTGGTGTATCTCCGTAGGAAATGCACAGGAGGCGTATTTCAGAAGACTTATTGTGGCCCCTGTTTAATTCTTACAGATAAGAGAACGTGGGGAATAATGTTACCAGTAGATAGTAAAAATAATGCAGCAGATAAAGAATCAGTAGATACTGATCCTTTACTAGCAGGTTAGCACTTAAAAAGTGACAGCTCTGGGGCGTCTGGGTGGCTCAGTTGGCTGAGCATCTGACTTCAACTCTAGTCATGATTTCACAGTTTGTGAGTTCAAGCCCCGCATTGGGCTCACTGCTGTCAGCGTGCAGAACCTGCTTTGGAACCTCTGTCCCCCTCTCTCTCTGCCCCTCCTCTGCTCACACTGTCTCTCTCAAAAATAAACATTTTTTAAAAGAAAGAGTGAAAACTCTAAGGGGTACTATTAATTTGCTGACTCCTGTAACTTCTTCTCAGGTTTCTGTTCTGATCTAAAAAGTACCAGATGTATAAGATTTAACAAAATGTTTTCTTCCCTTTTTGTCTTGGTCCTGTGGGTAAAAATCACCTGCTAGAATTGAGAAACTGTCTCACCCTTGTTTTTAAAGAAAGGTTCCAGATGTAGGGGAGCAGCTCTGAATATCTCAAGCCCCTCACATTCAGAGGCTGAGACCAGCGCTGTGCCCAAGATCACCCTTCCATACCTGTTGTTTCAATGACAGTTCTCATTTGGGCATTTTTACCCCATTTAACTCTTGTCTTCAGTAATTTCTTAAGACATGTTCAGAGTACTGTTTCTTGAGAAAAATATTTTAAGGAGTTTTAAAGTGAGGCATTTGGCTGAGATAGCATATGAGTGGCCCTCAGAGAACCACTCTTCTCTGGAAAAAGATCGTTTAGAAAAGGATGTAGACAAAAGAAGAGGTTTGTAGACTCTGAGCCCCAGAGGACGTGGTTATCATGCTAAAGGATGGAAGAGAGCTGGCTTAAAGCAGTTGAGAACCTGGGGCACCTGGGGGGCCCAGTCAGTTGAGTTTTGAACTTTGGTCCAGCTCATGATCTCACGGTTTGTGAGTTCAAGCCCCACATCGGGCTCACTGCTGTCAGCACAGAGCCCACTTCGGATCCTCTGTCCCCCCCTCTCTTTGCCCCTCCCCCATTTCCACTCTCTCTCAAAAATAAACAAACATTTGAAAAAAATTTAAAGCAATTGAGAACCTTAGGCATTTGTTTGTACTGCCTTCGTTGAAGCACACAGATTCAAAGAAAGGAAGTAAGGTGGGAATGTAGAGTGGAATGGAATAGTTACCCTGTTCTCTGACTCTGTGGCCAGACTGCCTGAAGCTGGGACGGTGCTCACTCGACTGGGCAGGCTTCCAGGACTACCGTGACATGTCAGTGACTGCTGCTCCCAGCCTCTCCTGAACTTCAGGGGGTAACAGCAGGGCCAGTAATGTCAGGAGGGAGCCCTGTGCTGTCCCTGGCCCAGCACTCTCCCTGCCAGGCTTGTCACAGATGCAGTTGTACAGGGGACAGAAGCACCAGGTCGAATGTGGAGGCCTGAAGCCCAAGGAACTGGTGCACAGGTGTGCCTGCTGCACCTGTTTTCACAACTAGAGATTGGATTCCATGTTGCCAGGTTTGGACTTGAATATGAAAAATGACATCATTTTTTTCAAAACTCCTACATAAAAGACATATTTTCCATACTTTTTTTAATGTTTATTTTTGAGAGAGGGATAGGGAAGGAATGAGGGGGGGGAGAGGCAG